CATTTATTTTATCTTTTATCTTTAGCTATCATTTCTTTACATTATCGGTGTCTTTAACAATTCCAGCTTTTTTTTTTTTTTTTTGGCTCAAAAATAAAAAATTTAAATTATACGTCACATACCATTACAAGGTAAAAATAAAACAACAAAAAATACAATTTGTTTGTCGTGGAATATATTGACTGCCAGATATTTTACTTTGCCTCAAACTTGGGTAGTTAAAACCAACAAATCAATATAATAACAATGCGTAACGAAAAGTATAATAAGATGATATCAAAAACTACCCCAAAGTGTAGAATGAATAACTGTAATGGAGGACGGTTGTTTAGAACTGAACTGATCAGATATCCGGTAGGGGACATTTAACTGATGTGAGACAAAGATTGCTAACAAAGGGTTTTTGTTGTATGAGAAAAAGGAATTAGCATAATGGCTTAAATGATCTAATGATCTACACATAGATCAGTTACAAATGTGAAATTATTTGGACAATGACATCTATCAAAGGTATTAGAATTTGAATGCAATTTAAATGGATCGTTTTTTGCGACATTGTTGATGAAATTAGGATAATAAGAATTTTGAAAGCGAATGGTAATTTTTAAAAGTTAGAATAATTTTTAAACTTTTTGCCATGAAATATTTTGATAAAATTATCAATTAAATTAAACAATACCAGACAACCCATAAAAATAGCAAATTTACTAATTCATAATATAATTTTTTTTTTTCATGTTATTTTTACTATTACAGTTTAAATTTAAAAAGTGAGGAAGTTTTTGACTTAATTATATAACAAAATTAACTTTATAAGGTAGTACTATTTCTCTCTTCCAATCATTATTCTGTTATCAGAATAATAAAGCATTAAATGTATTCCATGGAAATTAAAAATTTTAAGCAACAAAAAGAAAAGCTATATTAAATAATACAAACAAACAAAAAAAATAGCAATACGCTATGATCATTTCAATTATTCCTAAAAATAAAACAAAAGAGAAAAATCAGTCAGATTTGGGATTATTTTCAGATTTTTCTTCACAAACAAAAAAATGAGAAAGATTGTTGAAAAGCACAGAGACAGTTGTTGTTATTGTTGTTGTTATTATCGTTATTATTGTTATTGTTGTATGGTTTGTTTGTTGCTATTACTGTCACTGTTTTTATCTTCCAGTCTATATCTCATTGTTATTGTTTTCAAAATAATTCTTAAACAATTCCATCATTCTTTTTCATTTCTTCTGCACAAGCAAAATTATCTTTCTTTGTAGCAATATCTAACTGCCTGGGTATCTCTTTACTTGTCTATTGTTTTATCAATCTATCTATCTAATCATTCCTCTATCAATTCATACCTTTCTTTTATCATTTCTCTCTATCCATCCATCCATCAGTCTACTGCTATCTGAATGAATGTTAAGGAGAGGTAGGTGGGTGTATTAGTTGGTTAAGCTTTTCACGCGAATTCCTCTCTCTTCCCAGTAACATCTACTCTCGAATTCTCAGGAAAAGGACTCATTCGATCCCTCCCCCTCAAGCAATCGCTGAAAAAGTTGCTTGGCTAGAAGCAAGCGATGCCCTTGGTGGCATTATATAAGTCTTAGATATATCTCAGTTCACTGATAGCCCTCACTCACTTCAAGACGACTACCTTACCTTCATGCTTATTATGTTACACTTTCTGTTGCTATCTTCACTTTTTGCAGTTTGTGATGCTTTTTAGAAGTTGAAGAGACTAATCTAAGATTAATTCATTCTTAAATAAGTGAGGTTTAGGAATGACAGGAAATGATACATTTCAAATAAACTAAGTTTCATTACCATAGCTTTTCTATATAATTTATCCAATTTTAATTAGAAAAATTAGGTGAAATAAATGGTAAGATAGAAGTTTTCCATTGTTTTAAAAATTTGATTTTTAAAACAGTGGAAAACTAAGTTACTTTCTTTTTCCAAGTTTTAGGAAAAACAAAAACTTCAAAAGTTTGTAGTCTCGAAAATTTTTAACCAGCTTACAAAAGCGAAAAGCTATGAAATCAAAGTCATATATGGCTTACTAGTATATTGTTTGTTATTTAAGTTATATTTATGGATAAATGAAACGGACTAATAGCTAACGCTGATTTTAAGGACGTACCAATAACATTAGGAAAGTTTGTAGGTTAACCCACCCACCAGTATCAGTTTTAAAAACTATAAATAATGTGCGACGAGGAAGTAGCAGCATTAGTAGTAGATAATGGATCCGGTATGTGCAAAGCCGGATTTGCTGGTGATGATGCACCTCGAGCTGTATTCCCATCAATAGTTGGACGACCAAGGCATCAAGTAAGCTTCTCAGTTCTGCTTGTATATCTAATTGAATTAGAAAATATTGTCCTTCTCAAAGGTATATTCAATCTGAAAACTATAAATTAATTTTAAAAACGACTTTTGCGCATCGATAAAAAAGAGTTTTGCAGGGTGTCATGGTCGGTATGGGTCAAAAGGATTCATATGTAGGCGATGAGGCTCAGTCGAAGAGAGGTATTCTAACACTAAAATATCCAATTGAGCATGGCATTGTCACAAACTGGGATGACATGGAGAAGATCTGGCATCATACTTTCTACAACGAACTTCGAGTTGCTCCCGAGGAACATCCAGTACTGCTTACCGAAGCGCCGTTGAACCCAAAGGCAAACAGAGAAAAGATGACCCAAATTATGTTCGAGACATTCAATACTCCGGCTATGTACGTTGCCATCCAAGCTGTTCTGTCGTTGTACGCATCCGGTCGTACCACTGGTATTGTGCTTGATTCCGGAGATGGTGTTACTCACACGGTACCAATTTACGAAGGTATCATTAAATCGAATCAATCTTTACACTTTTCAATAATCATTTATTTGATTCAGAATATGAACATTTAAATGAGAAGAATCAAACTATGTCTTTTTTATTATATCAATTAAGTTTAATTTTCGTGACAACTCATTTCAAACTTTGGGATAAATTAATTGCACCTTCGTTATTTCAGGTTACGCATTGCCACACGCAATTTTACGTTTGGACCTGGCTGGACGGGACTTGACAGATTACCTAATGAAGATCCTCACTGAACGTGGTTACTCGTTTACGACTACGGCTGAACGAGAAATTGTGCGTGACATTAAAGAGAAGCTATGCTACGTGGCCTTAGATTTCGAACAGGAAATGGCAACTGCTGCATCGTCATCATCTCTCGAGAAATCTTATGAATTGCCTGATGGTCAAGTGATTACCGTTGGCAACGAAAGATTCCGATGCCCAGAAGCTCTATTTCAGGTTAGCTGGACCTTTTTGTGGGGAAAGTTAATATTAAGTGTTTCTTTACTAAATGAAATTCTTTTAGCCATCTTTCCTGGGTATGGAATCTGCTGGTATTCATGAATCAACATACAACAGTATTATGAAGTGTGATATTGATATTCGAAAGGATCTGTATGCTAATATTGTCCTATCCGGTGGCACGACTATGTATCCAGGCATTGCTGATCGAATGCAAGTAAGTTGATTATTATAAGATTATTATTATTATTGTATATTTCTTCAAAATAAGTTAATGTAAAACAAAAAAAAGAAAGAAAGAGATATGCATAATTAATGATCCTCTTTAGGTCTTTATTTCTCCTCGCTATTGTTAATTATTTTACTTATTTTTTTATTTTTTGAAGGATTTAGCTAATTAATGCGAACATTGCAGAAAGAAGTAACTGCTCTGGCACCAAGCACAATGAAAATTAAAATTATTGCACCACCAGAACGCAAATATTCCGTATGGATTGGTGGTTCTATCTTGGCTTCTCTATCCACCTTCCAACAGGTAAATCTAATTCTTAGCGTTTCCTTTTTTCACTAATAAGTTAGGAATAAATTCGAATCAATGTAAAAATAAGAGAGAGAAGCTTCAGCTAATAAAAGCACTATCAAGTGAGAATAATTGATAATGATAATATATATATCAGTGAATCAATTTTAAATAAATTTGCAGATGTGGATCTCGAAGCAAGAATATGATGAATCTGGCCCATCAATTGTGCATCGTAAATGCTTCTAAGCTATTTCATTGCTTGTATATTAATCGAAACATATACCAAAGTGCTCAAACAGCTATTTACAACATGCATGCATACTATGCTTCTTTCATATATCGCCTTCTTACATTTGCTTTTTATCATTATTATCTTATGTGGTGCTGGAAACCTCTCAGAATGATTCTCTAATATTGAAAGAAAGAAGTTCTGCTGTTGTCTGTTTCAAAATTCTATAACAACACTGCCACTTTGGTCAATGTTAATTTTATTGGATGGATTGATAAGAAATTTCTCAGTACCTACATGAAATCCCACTTTTATAAATGTTTTATTAGAAACAAAAAGCATGGAACTGTTGCAATTTTGTATTGTCACATGTTTAATGACAGCAAAATAAATCAAATTATCATTTCATTGTTTGAGCAGTACAACGAATTGATGGTTTATATATTACTGAAATTTGTGTTGAAACTTTTCATATCTCCCGAAACTTTGTAATGGAATGCTTCTAGTACAATTATCACTATCAGCAATTGATTGTTTATTAGCCCTAAAGCACTTTATCAGACATTTTTGAATAGCTTTCTTCTATATGCAGAAATTGTCATTCGTAACAATAAATCGTGAATTGAAGATTTCATTCAATTAATTCAGAGCTATTAACTAATAATGGAATCAAGCAATGTCGTACGTCGCACGAGAACGTCCTGAAATGTTGTATGAGAATGTTCGCATAGTTTAACTTTATTTAAAACACAGATGGATTTTGAAAATATGTTCCATTAAAAATAGTCATCAGTTATCAATAAGCAGCATCTCACTTTGTTTTTTGTTTTTTCTTTCCTTTCTTTTTTTTTTTTACACAACATTTAGATGTTTGATAAGTGAAAAATAATGAATCATCAAATAATTGCATAACATTCATTTCATTTATTTTTTATTTTAATTTTTATATCGAATGCTAAAAGTTATTGCAGTGCAGCAAACAGCGATCGCAAATGATGCGAGTGAGACTAATAAAGCAGTGGTAATTGAAACCTGAAAATGAGATTAGTTTATTCAAATCTTTTAATGTTTAATTCTTATTGCTAAATTCACTTTTATTATTATTTTTTTTTTTTTTTTGAAATATATATTTATCAAGTTGCAAGAGAAATAGAAAAAAAAATGAAAGGTATTAATAACATTTCAAAGAAATTTTAGTATATTCAACCTCTTCATCTTGAATGAATAAGTAGAGGTAATGGAAAGTAACAGCAAGAAAATTACTTTCGAACAAAAGAACTTTTTTTGGGCAAGATGTCGAAGTAAATTTGAATAAGCTATTGTTGTTTCCACTGGGCAACACGAAAACAAGAAATCTTCAAGAAAATAAAATTGTGGTATAAATACACCAATTGGACCAAAGCTAGCAATTCCTGAAGTTCGTTTGAACTGAAATATTTTCATTATATATAATTAGCCTTCAATACTTTAATTTTCAATTTCCAGCATTCAAATAAAGCAGTCTAAAAGCTATGCTGATATTGCAATAAAAACAATTCGAAATTATATAAAAATTGAAAACGCTAATTAATGCTAATTAATAGTTTTTTTTTTTTGAGGTTTTAATAGCTAGCAATCAATTATTAGATTTAAGCTACCTTATTTGATAACATTACTATAATTGGAAAGATGTATGCTTAACATAAAGTGTTAAAGTTTTTTAAGTATAAAAATAACAAGGAAAAGAGTAATAGAATTTTGGAAAAAGGTGTGAATATTAATAAGATTATACCAATATTCATGCAATATTTTAATGTTATTAATATTGATTATATTAATATCAACAATTCATAATAATTTTATTTTTATTCCACTAAATAATGATTGAAATCACGATTAGCCAATCATTTACCGATAAAGGTGAAATGGAACATTGAATCATAATTGGATATATTGTTATTGGTGATAAGAAATCCTTGGTATCAAATAAGAAATCGGGAATAGCTTTCCACTGCAATTGTGGCTTGGTGCGGAGTAATTGTTGAAGTGCTTTTTGTCGACTATCAGGCATAATATCCCAGCCAAGACGAAGCCAAATTTGCCACACTTTGCTGATTTGATTGATGGAAGATTGTTGAAAATTACTGTATTTGTTCAATGGATTAATATTGCTTTCAAAATTATTTGCTCTGTTTGATAACTGACAGAGTGGAACTGATCGAGAATCTCTTTCTGGGATACCATTTTTTAAAAAATTAGCCCTGTGATTATTTTGTTCTGTCCAGCAGTCAACAATACGAAATGGGACTGAAAAATTAGGGTAAAAAAGTTTGCTGTCTAAACTTATGAAAGTTTTAAATTCTTGAAAATAAGAAAAATTTCGTTCAAAAGTAAAATTATATTATTTCTTTTTTTTTTTTCGAGACAATCTTTTCTGTTTTGCTACTATTGAAAAAAATGAATGATTCACTTTTTTTTTGTAACACTAAATTTCTTTATGTAATATTTGAGAATAAATTGTTTGAAATATTTACTATGTTTCGAGGAAATCATTAAACTGAGATCAAAACCAATTTGTACTGATGAATTTATCTCAATTGATTCGCCATTAAGATCAGCAGCTATGATAATATCCTAAATGGAAATAATGAGATTATAAAAGAATTATAGATAAAAAAATAGGAATAGGTCATTAAAACAATCAATGAGGAATCATCATCTTTAATATCATATACATTGATAGTGATAATTTATTCTAAAGATTAGATTAGTTTAAAAAGCGAAATTAGATAAATAAATAAATAAATAAACTAAGCAAATTAGATAAATAAATGAATAAACTAAGCAATGAAATTAAAGTTAAAAACAAAATTGGGACAAAAAAACATACTTTCAACACTTGATCACATGAAATTTCGAATTTATGAATTATTTTACTATCAGCTGTCAATAAAACCTGCAATTATATCATTATTTCTTAACAAATTTAAACTTTTCAATGTTGTGTACTACGTATTGAATATATCTGCCAATGCAATAAATAACCGCCGTATCATTTTAATTATTTAATAAATTTCAAAAAATTTTTCTATTACTTGGTTCTCTAAGGATGACGCATATTCATTACATGAAGCTTTCAGAATTATACTTTAAGAAATAATAACTTTTTGTATTGTATCATTTGATAAGCAAACTTTCGGTATCAGTATACTGATCGGTTGTGAACCTGAATCCATTTCCATTTCACATGTTTTGGTGTAATTTGTGCCGATAAATACAAGTTTCATTGGTTCCTTCAAAATATTTTAATATTTCAAATTATTTGTAATTGAAATTAATGTTACACAACTCCGCTCAGTGCTAAGCTTTCTTAAAATCTAGAATAATTTTTTAAATAGCAAACATAATGTGAATGACATACATATATTTTTATTTTTCGTTGTAAATTATTCAATTCCAATTTAATTTTCAAACCATTTTGTAAACATTCAACAGTAATATATTCATCCAATGCAAATACACCGTTAACTAAAATTGAATTTGTAGAGCATTCCAAAAATTTTTTAAATTGTTAATATATTTCATATACTACGGTATCTGGAGGTACTATCTAGGAACCTTGAAAAAATGAATAATGTCTGATACATCCACTGCAATTTAACTGCTCTATTTGTTTCTGAAAAGAGGCGCATATGTCAAAGTTCATAGAACTCTTTTACAAATAAATTTATTTTTAACTCCTAATACGTAATAAAAATTATAATTTAGAAAAGAAAGAAGACATGAATTCACCATTACCTTTTAGAACTGAAAATATCAATAAAAGAAAACACAGTACATGCATTGCATTTCATTTATTGCTATTTCATAAAATTTCACTATTAAAATATCTTATTTTATAGTATCTAACTAGAACCTTAGACTGAACTCCGCCTTCTAACTTTTAGGCATGATAAATTTGAAATTTTTGATTAACACACTAAAAACCTAACACATGTGACAATGGAGGTAAAAGCTGAAAATGCAAGGAATTTTGATATTTCTTCTGAAGCTATTAGTCATTTGTGTCTGACGTGTACAAGCATGGCAAGCTATTTTTTTTTGACTCATTTAAACAAAATTTGAAAAATTTTTTTACAGAATGTAGAAAACATTCTTCTTTTAAAAACACACACACACACACACAAAATGAATAATTTATCATTGCTGTTTCAATTATTCTTTTTTAAAAAATATCAATTAGTAAGCAATAGAATGATAATAATTCCAATTAGAAATGACACATAAGAAGGAATAATGGGAACAGAAATGACACATAAGAAGGAATAATGGGAACAGTGCAGTGGTAGGTCTTCCCTTTCATCCAGCTTTCTCTACCTCTAATGGATGTGTCATTCATTTCAAATTATGATTTATTAATGGAAAAAATTAGCTATTGAGTGATTTATCTATAAAGCACAATGACACATTTTCTCTCTCACATATTTCATTGAGATATTGCAAAAAAAAAAAAAAAAAAAAAAAAAAAAGAAAAAAAGAAAAACTCTCAGTCAAAGCAGAATGATTAGTTTAGGGGAAAAAAAAACTAAAAAGAAATAAAATATGCGTTGAAAAAGGAACGAATGCCATCTTTGTGATGATGGTGATACAATGGTTGGATACACGACCCAGTGACCCAAATTTCCGGGATTATTTTTCTATCCTCTTTGAACATCGAAACAGCTACCAAAATTTCCACGCTCACTTTCTTTTATCTAATATTAAATGTCTTGATCAGCAACATTGTAATTGCTTTTACTCAAGTTTATCACAAATTCAATTATAACTTTGTTGAAATTTTTAAGTGTATGTAAACAGCCTATGCAAACGTATCATCTAAAAATTTTAACCTGTTTGATAATATTATCAATCCATAATTATCTTCCTATCAACTAGAATGATAAGGAATGAATATGGTGGTAAATATTATCATTTTCCTACACAAATTTCACTCTACAATTTTATAACCTTGAAGAATAGCACGAAATTATTTTCATACATGCACTGTAAAAATACATGTATATAACATTTCCGGTATTAATCAGTTTTCCGGTAGATGTTTTGATCAAATGGAAATTATAGAAGTTTATGAAAATTAAAACAGATTAATTACCCAGAGAAAAAATCAACTGCTTATAATGCATTAAATGAATTCATCGAGTTTTTTCTCTTTCTCTTATGATGAATTTTCTCTTTGATAACCACATGTGAGCAGAAGATTTCTTGTCTCTTGCAAATTTTAAAATTTTATTCGAATTTTACAAATGCCTTTTCTTCTTTTTCTTCCACAAGTTGATTATGATTTATATCGATATCATCTTGAATGTTTGAAATAAAGCTTTCTGTGAACAAAACTATTTAATTTTTCTTGCAGATGAAAAAAGAAAAAAGTATTATTTCATTGCTATCTTACCAGTAAAATTTTCTTTAGCATAAATAGTTAAACATTTTAATTTATTATTTATTTATTTTTTCACTATTACAGTTTTTTGCAAACTAATGAAAAGTTCTGATTGCAAGAGGTAAGCAAATAGCGCAAAAATCTGAATTTTTTATTCCTAAAGGCAACTAATCAAGTAATTCTAACTTTCTATAAGTTTAATTTGATGGAAAACTTTATTGAAATTAAATCAGTAGGATTAAAAGTATGCTGAGAAGCTATAAGAATTTAGTATGTATCACTAAAAAATGGAAATGCTAATGTTTTTAAATATTTTGATATATTAACAGAGAGGGAGAGAGAGAGAGAGAGAAAGAGAGATTTGAGAAATGTTAAATTTAATGATAATATAATATTGATATACTGTAAATTAAGATTAATTATGCCAATATTTTGTAGACGAATGACTTCATCGATACTATATGTGCTATCATATTTATTTGCATTCATATTAGCAGCAAAAATTCCGGAAAAATCGATCAGCAGAGTTCATCGTCCGCAAACGAATTGTAGATTCTCTGTACATAACGGTGGACCAAACGGTGAAGAAATTTCGGGTTAGCACTGCTTAAATTTATTTCAATAAATTTGCTTTCAGAAATTTGAAATTCTCATTTTTAATTATTTTTTTTCTTTACTTTCTTAGATTCTTAATTTAAATAATGAAGAACATAGCATCTGCTAATTATTTCATTAGAAGCATGAATACTCAAAAAAAAAAAAAAAAAAATGCTTGTAATATTAAAATAATTTCTTACTTCAAGCCTATTCTCATATATTCATTAATTAACATTTTGAGTTTGAAAAAAAATAAAATTAAATTTACATTCGGTCTTCACTGTATCACTTTAAATTTAATAAATTGTGCTTACAAATTTGATCACCATCCTGGACGCATATTATTAAGGAAACTTTGATAATTCAATTTAAAATTCGGTGCTTTTCTTAAAGATTTAATTTTTTAGGTACAAATTTGAATTCAGAACTGTATTATAAAATAAAATGTAATAAAGAAAAAGGTTACTGTCTTCATGTTGCCAATTGTACAGTGAAAAGTGATAAGGAAAATACAGAACCGTATCTTATCATTGATGAAAATGGTTGTACCTTGGAGCCAAGCTTATTCGAGCATGTACAGGTAAATTATTCAAATTAGCAAAAGTTTCTCCCGGAGATGGAGAGAATAAATTGAAAGCGAAATGGGAAACAATCACTTCTTGAGTTTTTGAATTCGTTTCTAAATAGAAAGGAGTAATTTATTATCACAATTAAAACTAATTAATAGAAATTAATCATTTTAAGGATAAGAAAAAAGCTAAAGCTTTCATAAATCAAAGACAATTACTGACATTGTCATTGTTAATTTCTCTGACCTTTGATAATACAAAAAATTTTTTGTTTTTCTCAAATTAATTCAGATAGTAGCAAATCTGCTTTTGTTCATCAGTAATTAGAGTTCGATTAAATGAAATTCAAAAATGGTTTAATTTTATTTTTGATTCTAAAATGAATGAAAGGATCATTGCTATTTATCAAATTTTATCAAAATAATAGAAAAAAAAAAAAAAAGATATTAGAAGTGAGTAAATTGAAAGAAATAATTCTGCGGAAAAGTTCAAGGTCATTTCAGTACGAAGATGATTTTACGGCTGGAATATACAATCCGCTTCCGATCCGATTCCGCGGATCAAGCTCATCAGTGCAATTTTTCTGCTCCACAACATTAGTACCAACAATTGATGGTGAATGCTCGCGTAAAATGTGTACCTGGAATGAATATGGTACTAATCATAATTTTGAAAGAAAAAAATAAACTTTCATCTATTGCAAAATGATATTTATCTGTTTGGATTTGGCTTATTTACGTGAAAAGTTACGTGAAAGGTAAACTTGACAACGCCAAAAATTTGCCATTTATTTTTATAAGCCTACTGAAGGCACTGTTAAATCATCATTCAACTATAATAATTTGTTGGTTCACTTTTGTGATTATATATATAATAGCTAATTGATACTGTAACCAAAAAATCATAAGGAGCTAACAAATTTTGAAATACTTACTAATTTTAAGTATATTAATTATTCTACTAGTAATGATATTTATCTTCATTTGATATCTCTTTTCAAATTTAAAAAAAAAGAAAATACAGTCTAAAATTTTGTAAAAGCCAACCATTTATAATAAAGATTGATGTGTAATTCGAATAGTTTACTTAATTTACACAAAAGAAATTTAAATGACTTTTTTACATTATCTTCCACAATTGTTATATTAATATTGACTTTTATCTTCATTTAATTTGCCACTTTTTAGAAAAACAAAAATGCAGACTAAAGTTTTACAAAAGCAAAAACATCTCTTTATTCAAATAAATATGAAATAAGGTGATCATTTCGAAAAGTAAATAAATGAGTCGTATTTCTTTTTGATGATAACGTTATCAGATAATAGATAATATATTGAAATTAAAGCGAATTGAAGCATTTGATTATTTTGTATAAAAATAAGATCAATAAAGTCCGCTTAGAATCTCAAAGTTGAAATATTCATGGCATTGACTTGCTTAATGCATTTTTATCAAATCTAATTAAAAATCTGAGAATAAATAAAAAAAAATGATTGCACTAAAAGCAATTAAAATAGTATTTTATTTTAAACATTATCTGTACCATTTTGAAAGAGAAATTCAACTAACTCTTAATTGATAACATTGATAATCGTAATGATAGCACTTTTTAATTTGTTATATAATTTTATAGTAAAAAGAGAAAGTTCAGATTTTTGGTTTAGAAACTTTAAAAATTTTAATCATCATGAAAAGATTGCACAATCATTTTTAATATTTGGTAATTAAGAAATTTTTTTAATAATTGGTCAATACACAAGTTCTGCTTTGCTTAGATGTTCAAAAGATCATTTGCAACTTTGATCACTCTATGATATTCGAGACATTAAGTCCAGCAGCACTTAATCGAGAATTTAGGACATAATGGAAATATTGAAAAGAGGAAAGAAAAACATCAAAAAAACGAAAAAAAAATGGTGCAAACAACTGAAATTTGAGCAATTGAAAAAGAAATAAGTAATTGAAAATTTTAATGCAAATATTTTGAAACAAAATGTTAATAATAAAGCATAAAATGCTAATGAAGCTAAAACTGATGATTCATCAACATCATTTAATTATTTTGAATCATTTTTACTAACAAAAAAAAAAAAAAAAAAAACTTGATCTTTATTTGATATTATTATTCATCAAATAATCTTCTTCGTCCAGTCAACATCTTTTGGATAATTATAACAATAGCTTTTACGCATCAAACTGCTAAGCAAGTGATAAAATAATAAACCATTGACATTATTTAATCATTTTATTTCAACTTCAAAAGTATTTTTTACTTTATATTTTATCTATTAAAAATGACTTAAATCTTACAATTTAGATCACTTGGATAATTAAACAATGAATTTTATAAAAACAATAGCTCCTATTATTATTATTTAATCATTTTGAGCTCATTTTAATTAACATGATCTTTTTAATTATACATGATTTTTTTCAATAGTAACTAATTCATTTAGTAAAGTATTACTTTCACTTAAATAATATTCTCATCCGCTTACTCTCTCTCTATATGACACTTCTAGTTAAAGTAATTTCTGGTTAAAGTAAGTGTTTCTTAAACAACTTCAAAATTTCTAAAAATTCAATCTTTTAGCATTGATTTAGTGAAAACAAACAAAAGAAACTGATGAAATATATCAATGATAAATGATAAACAAAAAAGGTAATAATAACTTATTATTTGATTTCCGCAAAATTTTCAACAGTAAATGGCTGATTTATTTGATAATTGTTTTTATCAAATTCGTCGGAAAAAGAAAAATGTCACAATAAATTGAATTGGAGGAAAAAATTTTGAAAAAGAAAATGTTGCAACAAACAGAAATTGCAATCAGCACTCAAATAATAATGAAATTACAACTACGAAACAATCATATGCATAAAATATTACCAATTTAATCCTTAGACTAAAACAATTAATTGTAACAACAAAAAAAAGGTGGAATTTTATATGATCAGTTGAAAAGTAATTAAAATGTTTTGCAGTGTTAGAAATAAATATCGGAAATAAGCTAATATATTTGTAATTATCAATTAAACCAAAATTAAAAATTAAAAAATTTTTATAATATGCAAATAATTCTATGTGTATTTTATCAAATAATACAAAAGGCACTATTGAATTAAAATATTTTATCACTCACTGATATTCAATGCCAGTAATTCAATGATTTCCATTCTGTTGTCTAACTTTTAAAATTTGCTTCATCCTTTTAAACATCAAATTGTTTCATCTCAAGTTGAAATTCTGTAATAGCAAGAATGGTTATGAATATATGCCAGAAAGTAATAATTAATTATCAAAGCTAAAATATTTTAAGTGATTCGTTGGTCCAGTAAAGTTACATCAGTGAGATTATCAGTCGATTTAATTAAATGCACTAAATTAAATGATTGGAAAATGATGAGAATCTCATTCTTTATGATGTTAGTCTATACCTATTGGAATGATGAAAGCTTCTTGAGATGTATTCAAAATAACAATGTGAACATTAAACTTAGTTACGTGTTACTATCACACTTTCTTCGGGAGTTTAAATGAACATTTATAAACTGTCACAAGGGTTTAAGAGAAGAAAATATGAGAGCATTGTGAATTAAACAGTGTTTGAACCCTTTAGTCTTTAATTCCAACTAACCTAACCTTAGTATAAAAGACTTCCATTTGAACATTTTTGTCATTTAGAAAAATTCATCTCTCACTATATCTATGGCACATTCATCATTTGATTCAACTTTCTGTTTTGCATTGTTTCAGAACAAAATAAAACTTATCTAATCTCGATACGGATGACACTGTCACATATGTGCACTTATCAGTTCATAATAAAATGTCATTTTAACCAATTTTCATCAATTTACTCTTTTCTCAGCTGATACTTCCGGCCAAACTACAATTGCTGAAGAGAGCAACATCAACAATAAACATTTTTCGAATAGTTTAAATATATTCGATTACAGAGAAAATACCCATACCCATAGGGAATCAGAAACAGATCATAATTGCACTGCGTGAAATTGAAGATACAAGCAATAAAGAATTAAAAATTGAAATTAATCCCATAACAACAGTAAATGTACCTTTGAATGAATGTATCATTTAATTTTATAATTGACTTTTTAATGTCGATTATTCTTTTAATTTTTTAAAGAAATAAAAATATTTTTTCAACTTTGAAACTATGTATATATGTTGAATGTTATGCTTTTGTATTTAATTCTAAGCCATTAAATAAGAAATTGAAAAAATTCGAATTATTAAAAATCATTTCAACTATTTTTTTTTTAATTAGCACTAAACATATATGTTTGATAAGTTAAAACCGATTCATAGTTTCCCAAACAACAAAATTTAATAAAATTTTATTCTTTTTTCATGTTACTTAAGACTTCTGAGAAATTTTCTTCTTATGATTACAGCACTTCAATTGCTACTTCAATGCTTCATGTTCATTTATTTACATTATAGCAATTAATTTCATAGAAATTTTCTACCCCATAGAATAAATTGATTCCGTATTTTCAGATGAAATGAAAAAAAAAAAAAAAGATTAGTTTTTTATTAAAAATTTGATTACTTATTATGTTTATCAGGTAAATTGAAAATACTACAGAGTTGCATTATGTTAAATCATCAAGCAATAGTAGTTGGAAATCCTGATGGTCATTCTTAATCTTATCAATTATAGAATTAGTTTCTTTGTATTCGCAAAATCTTCTGAACAAATTGAAATTGTGTAATGTTTCGAGTTGATCAAAATATAAGAACTGTCAATCTAATGCAATGAAGTAATTAGAAGAAAATAAGAAAAGTTGAAGTTGTTGCTATGTTATCGATGTTTACAATAACAATTGTATCTGTCATAGCATTAACCCCTATTGGTTTATGATTATCATCCGGAGATATGAAAGACATTTTTGACATTTGGAATCTATTAAGGTATATCGTTTCTTGTTATTCATGTTATGTGAAAAAGTTTTATCTAAAACTAAAATGTTATTTAAATGCACTCGGTTAAATTAACATAATAAATGTTGTGAGGGATACAGTACGGGGATTCGGGTATTTTTTACGAAAATCTGCAATCGAAATAAGCACAGTCATATATATCATAACATAACAGTATGAGAATTTGCATTAATCGAATGATTAATCAATTTAAAAAGTTAACCACTAAAGTAATTAATTTGTGAATTCCTTCCATAATTAAATTTGTGTTTTAATTATGAATCGTTTTTTCTCTTTTTTTTTTTTTTTCCACCAGTATCACTTGAGAATCGAAAAACTTATATTTTAATTAGCATTCCATAATAAATAGTATGTTATCATTTCAATTTAAAATAATAATTCAGTTGTTTGTTTCCTCAGCTTAACTGTTTATATTTCTTCTTTTACTCCTTTTTTTTCTCCTTAGTCCTTCTTCTGAACTAACCTTACCCGAACTAACAACAAAACAAGTACTACCTACCCATCCAATCCCTGATTTACCCATTTCATCTCATAACTCATTTGCCGTGACGCTTTGAAAATCACGATCTCATCCAGGCATGTAGGATTTATAGCTTCGATTTTTTTAGACGATTTCCTACCTTTATTTCATTTCCTCATTATGTTTATCAATAAGTTTATTCGCTTCAGCTGATGCTTTATTTCAATCGGATGCTTCTTTAGCGGTCTGAAGAGTTATATAATAATTTAATAGAATGTTTGCTTTTGTTGATGCTATTCCAAGTTATTCAAATTGATTAATTCTTTTATTGTCGTATCAGTTATGGTTAATTATTAGGAATTTAGCAAGTTATTTTAAATTTGATGTAATTCCAGGCAATGACACTTACGCATTCATCACGATTTGCTATTGGTCTTTCTCGGTGAGAGTTTTTTTTCTTCAAATAGTTTTTTCATTCAAAAAATTAGAATATTTGAAGTGTCTCTTCTCTGTCCCCTAGAATGCGATACTTTCCATGTTAGCTTTGTCCTTGTAGTCCATCTTAAGTTGATCCCTCATATCATAGGTGCTGACACCAATCTAGTGAAAGGCACAGGTTACTGATAGTCTGTCTTATGCTAGACTACTTGTTAATATTTTGGAGATTGTGGTTGGATTGTATAAATATTGTCATCTTAATATATCAATTAAAGAAAGATTCCAGTAATCAGCTACACTGGAGTTGTCATTTTGTTGTCTGAAAGCTTATCGATTTTTTTTTTTTTTTTTCATTAATATGGTTTTATCTTGGTTAGTAACTAGGATTTGTAATATTTTTCTTGCAGGTCTATAAAACGAGGTTTCAGTCAAGTGGGTGATCTCGGAAGTGGCAGTGGAAAGGTTCCTTTAATTTTTGGTCATCTCAACTAGTTAGCAACTAGTACGGATTTCATTAGAGTCGTTTTTTTTTTTTTTTTTTTTTTTTGTAAAGAGTTATCAAAACTGATAGTTTCTATCATTTTATTACTCTCTTAAACACAAATAAAAGCATGAGAAAGGTGGGGATTTTATTAATTGTGTGTCAAAATATTTCGGCAAAGCTATTTAGAATAGACATATGACGAGACGAGATGAAGTCCTTTGTAGATAACTGAGAAATTTTCTCACAGCCTGCAACTATTATATATCTATTCAGTAGTTTTTTTTAACCTTCCTTTTTTTTTCGTATTGAACGAAGAATGAAAGAAAAAGTCTCCTTGATCATTAATGTTTATTTCCAAATAGTTTTTCAGTTTACTTATATTTAGGGTGGCGGAGCTGGCGGATCAATACGTGATGCTGGTGGCGCTTTCGGAAAACGACAAGCTGCACGCGAGGAGGAATATTTCAAAAATCTGGTAAAAATGTTATGTCATTTTATTGTTCTTCAGACTTATACTGTGCACTTTATCATATTAGCTCCAAGATTGTTAATTATTTCGAAAGCATTTTAACCACGATAACTGATCGTGCATCCGGTCCTATTTTTCAATGATGGCACGTGTGAAACTATTATGTGTAAATATTCTTGGAACGGGTCTTGTATATTTATAACTCTTGGTCTACATATTTCAGAATGACAAAAATAAGGAAATTTAACTTTTTTCCAGGAAAAAGAACAGCTGAAGTCACTACAAATGCAGTATAAAAATTTGCGCAAAGAAATGGAACGTGAAATAGAAGAACATGAAAGTCATGCTCGTGAACATAAAGAGGCAGCTGAACGACTGAGACGTCGAGTAAATGAGTTGGAAAAAGAAGAGCAGCAGTTGAAAAGTCAATAAGTTGCCTTTCTGTCCCAAAGTTTTTGAGCTTCTGTTTATTTTAAAGATGCTAGAAACAGTAAAATTAGAATATAATTAGACTAGGCTAATGTATAAGAAACAGCAGAATTAAGGAACCAAAATGTTATGGAACTCTTCAATGATTACCCTTATAATTATTTTTAGTGTAGTGTCTTTCTGTGAGCAAATATAACATATGTTTATAAAATTTTATTAAATTATATATTACACAGAGTAATGTATATATTTGAGAAATTAGCGGTTTTCTTAAGCAATAAAATAAGTTTACAGCTTGCACGGGAAAGCATAACGAAAGCTAGGACAAATCATTACTAAGTACCCGAAAAGGCGAAGCTTAAAACGACCCATATTTATCGTTAAGTACATACATTACAAAAACGGTCGAAGTTGTTGGGGGTTTTAATAGTGGAGGAAACTGCAAAAGAAATGTTCTGGAATGTAAAGATAAAATCAGGAACAGCGGTGTTACATTTTATAGAACTGAAAGTTACGTTAAGTGCTAGACCTTTCCAAAGACGCCTATCGTTACTCTCGAAAGAAATCCCGAGTTAATTAATATGGTCTTCTCAAACTTAAAAACCTGCGACTGTAAAACAACAAAAATGATACTGAACAAAAGTAAGACTCAGGAACTTATTAGGATTCGGAAAAGAGTTTTCAGAATTGACATGTACTTGTAATGGTTGAGAATAATTTACATGGATTCTAATACTGCTTCGCTTCATTCATCACAATCATTGATTAAATGGGGTTTTTTTTTTCTTGATACCAGAATGAAAGGATAAACAAAAGTTAGTGAACACCGGTTATATGCATCTATAGCTGCAAAAAAAACATAGAAAACAAAAAGCAATTAGCAAGCAAAACAATATACAAGCAGATTTCAAAGTTCTGATTCCTTCAACAATTATATCTGTCAAACCGTTTTTTTTTTTTTTTTTTTTTTGATGACCTTTCTGCCAAATCGTCTCTATTAATTGATGTGCTTCTATCCTTGATTGTATCACATCATATAGTGAGTGCATAAGTGAATCTATCTCTCAGAGCACTCTATCTCAGTTCTCAACGAATTGAAAATTAAATTTTGTTCAATCAAGAAATTTGAAACAAAAATAAATACAAATGAGTAACAAGTGCATAAAAAAGGACGGTTAAGCTGTAGTTGCAAAAAGAGAACTCCAATGAATAATTTCTGCCTCTTTCGGAGATATTTTTCAATCATTTATTTTCATCAATAGCCGCATTATTTTCCAATGGCTGAAACAAAGTTTTTCTACAAATGCTCTTGTTTTCTGCATTTAAAACATTTCGACATTATCCATTAGCTTCATCTGGCGTTATTTCGAAAAAATATCAATTTAAAGGACCCTTTAGTCCTTTAAATTGGTAACTATTTTAATTTATCCATAAATTTACATTTCATAAGCGCAAATGGAGTCAGAGTGTAAAAGTAAAATATTGTTTTGGTAAGGAAATTATGCACTCCGTGCTTCTCCATTTCACTGTATTTCAAAGTCTAAAGTTGTATATGCAAGCGTGTAAATATAACATCTTTATTTCAAAACTGCGGGACAGTAGTAGAAAATGTCATCGCTTGCTAATATTGAGACAAGTTTTTGTCACCGAATTTTAGAATAGAAATTTTCTTTGATGCTTCGAAATCTAACCTACTTATCAAACTTCAAAACACTAAAATGTGAAACTATTTTGATGAGGTCACAGTTGCTCTGTCACGTTGCACTATAAGTTAGTGACTATAAAGCAATTAATAAATTTGGGAATTTTGATTCAAGTGCCACTTGTATATGCTTATCATACGATTAAGACTGTGTAATGTCTCTATCATTATTTAAAGATACTACTGATAAAAAAGAAAAATTTAGTGTTATTGGGGTTATGTTTTAGGAAGGAGTAGAAAAAGGGGGTGTCGGAAGGATTACCTCTCTACCACCGAATAAAGCATGTTTTTTTCTATAATTTTGAGGAACTGTTGTTGATCGCTATTCTATCGAGTGAATTATAATAGCGTACCCGCAGAAATGGATTGTCGTTAGATGGAGACTGATTGCTTACTGCACCATTATTATTAGTTGTTCGTGTATACTGAAACAAGTAAATGAAAGATGAACACGCATTTAAAGCCAGTGAAAAGGATTATTCATTATATTGGGTGCGAAGAAAACAATAAACAAGAGAAATATGAATATACACATTCGGTCAAGTATGACATAAAGATATATTCGGAATTCTTTAAGAAAAAAATTACGGTCAAAATAGTTTCAACTAATAGAGTGTTGCTAAATAATATCAGCAGTAGTAAAATTCACGGTTAATGTAATCTTACGGCTTGATGTAGTCAATAATTATCATCAGAACTTCACCTGTCACATACGCAAGTACTTTTCTACCGCCTTCAGAACATATGATTGTAAGACAAAATAATTTCCAATTCAATTGTTGTCGAGTGTCTTCCTGTTAATTAACCTTTCAAAAGCTTAATCTAGTTACCACTCCGAATAATACATACCATAGATAGTTGTTGCTTAGTAGTGAATATTTTCGCAAATGGTGCCATAAATGAGGGCATAGTCTCCAATAATGTTGGGTTTGCATTAGTTAAGAATGGCTTCATAAAGCTGCAAATGATTTTTTGTTAAATAAGAGCTAAAAACGGATGAATCAAATAATAATTTCATAATTAGAAAAATCTCAACAGCCAAAGAAGTTATAGAATATGTAAACAAATTTAAGAATTACCACTACTTTTTTTCTTTTTCAAGTAACTGAATGCTTGATAAAAAACTTTGGATCACAAGAAATGACAGTAAGAGACAAAGCACTTACGATGCATCAAAGTTGTACCACTTTCGAGGAAGGAATGCTTTATCCCATGGGTTTTGTCCACTGACACGCGATAATGTATCCATACCTTGCAGATGACTATCATCCTACATTTAAAATTGAAATAGACATTAGAACATTAAATTAGCACACGGCACAAGTAAGATATATGCATTCTAACTTTTTCCCTGAGAAAATATTGTTTTTCAAAATTTTCATAAATTATCACTAGAATATCAACTTCATCCTGAAAAAACAAGAAAAAAATGAAACAATACCAAATTTAGTTGTAGCTGAGAGTCGTCATAAGCATCAACACCGTGCCTAAAGCAATGATTCCAGTGAAAAACATCTCGTCAAACATTACTTATTTTTCACAGCATAGACAATTTGCTTCTCAGATTTTGTACTCAAATTCTACTTTAGTTTAAAAAATTATCAAATTTCGTCAAAAGGAACAAAAATGAAGAGACCTGATACCCAAATACTCAGTAAACCAAGAAGTAAGACCACCATTGAACAAGACAGTTACGATCACAACCATACTAGTTGTAGTAGCCATAATCTGACGATTATCTGTTGACGTATTACGATATGCAAGTGCAAAAGCCATAGCCCCACGCAATCCTTCAATTAAAGCACTGAGTTAACAAATTCACCGAATTTGTACTTGAAGATTCTAATCATATACAGAAAAAAATCTTGATTAACAATTTCGTCAGCAGAGGAATTAAAGCAAAAAATTGACAGTTAAACAGTTTTCTTTAAAAAAAAAAGAAAGAGAAAATGATAAATCGTACCCGAGAAAAGCATCATATGTTGATATCGCTGTGGAATTTTAGGTTTTCGACGGATATTTAACATGGCAGAAACCGGATAAATATGGGCCGCTCTTGATAAAAATACAGAAAGCTAAAAAAGATGAATAAGTGAAAAGACACGTTAAATGCATAAATTTATAAAAAATAAAAATCCAGAAATATAAACATGCTATATTATGTAAAGAACTAAAACGATTTAATCATTAACATCAAAATGAACTGAACATTTAAACTGTTGTTTTTCTATTAGGAAAATTGATAAAGGGAAGCAGAAAAAAAAAAAAAATCTTTTCTTTGGTAAGCTCAAAGAAATTCTTAATAAGCTTAGATATTTAATTTTATTATTTGTTGATATATAGAATGTTCCACTAGAAAAGAGAAAAAAATTTAAGAATGAAACAAAAAAGTATCTCACCAGAGTGCAAAGAAAAAAGGAAATACTCCATTGTTGACTGTGTGATACGAAAACACTTACTCCAATGTAACAAAAGATGAAGCTTTCCATCAAGAATGAAACTTCCTGAAAAATTAATACTCTCTCCGCGGTTACCTGCACTTTACTGCCTTACATCTAACTGCTATGTATGTCGCAACATTCTGGAATATGAAATATGATTTATTCAGTTAGGCGATTCTATAATACTATCATTGTACAATCATCACTTTTCACTTACAGTGATTTTTGAAAAACGTTTTTAGCAAAACGATAAATTCTTTACAACAGATACCTCGAAAAATTGCTTTGTTCTAGTTCTTGCTTCATCTGATAAATTATTGTAAGTATAATGAGCTTGGCATATGGCACAAAAAAGAACAGCCACAATTCCTGAAGCGGCATAAAATTTCAGAATAATTCATAGAAACTTCCCTCTCCATAACTGATCCAATGCAAATGTAATTTATAACATTTGCCAGCCTACATATGAAGGACGAAAATGTATGTAATCATCATGCAAATAAGCATGAATTAGCAAAATCACTTGATTTCGGAACTTATCAAATAATGACATACAAACCTGTCAATTCAACAAATTCGGCAAGAAGGAATGATAAATATGAAAGAAGTATGAAAAGAGCTGCTTCAAGCAATGGGAACTCTTTAATTTCAGTCATTTTAGTGATCAAAGCCGTAGCGCAGCCAATAACTGAACCCAATAGTAGTGATCCTGAAATTGGCAAGAAATCATCTTAGTCTTTAATGGGTAAAACGAAAAGTTTTAAATATTTTCGGAAAAAATGCAGGCTTCGCATTTTCGATAATAAAGATTTGAATAATAGAAATAGAGAAATAAAATAACCAAATATATTAATGTTGATATGTAAATTTCGAACAAATTGTGCCAAAAAAGAAACATACCGAAAAAAACAGATAAAAAATCAATAACAGCAGCAAACAAAGCATCTAAATCGAATGATTTATCCGAAGCTGCAAAATTATCCACTGAGCTGAAATCAGGCAAGTTTAAAAAATTACTGTAGAACACAGACACCATTTTCGATAAATTTAATATTCGACAAATGCTGACAAATTCTAAATTAATGACTTAATATAGTCATTTTTTGATATCAGTAACTACCAAAAAATGTTGCTTAATTAATCCTAACAAAAAATAACGCCATTTTAAATGACCCACATAGTAAGAAAAGGAATCAAGCTCTTTACCGATTTTCAGATTTATCTTGCAGTTGATCTCTTGCATGCTAAAATTTCGGATTGCAGCAACATTAGACAATCACATTTTTGGTAGTAAAATGAAATGTAAATTTACCTTGATAAAACAATAGCAACAGCATCATTTAGTACGCTTTCACCAAAAACCAGTGCATACAGATCTGATTCCACTTCCATCTCTTGGAAGACAGCCAGTACTGATACTAAAATTGGAAAAAAATTACTAAAAAGGAAAAACTTTTAAAAGAAAATAAGTTGCAATACAACTTATAAGAAAGTTTCAGTTTATTCAAACAGAAATGAAAGTTAATCAATTCTGTCAAAAATCAAATGTTAATTATATTCAAACATGTTAATGATGTTGCAAATTTTTAACCTTCTTGCTAAGGACTTTAGTATCACTGATCCAAAGAATAAAATTCCTCCTTCCCTACATAACTTTCATGGAAGAAAGAAGCAAACATGCCTCAACTATTCCCTTAAATTATTTGGACCACTGAACCCTAACTTTCCCAGCCCTTAAGTTACTTTTCAGGTAGGATTTATCAGTTAATGTCACACCATTGCCTCAGAAAGCAACATTCGGAATGGTGCTGACCAATAAGGCAACAATGTATTTTTTTTTGCACACGCTACCAAGTATGAAGGCATCAGCTGAGCCTCCACCCTGAATTATTATGTGCCTCGTATTGAAAGCACTACCACTACACTATCATTTCGCACTACTGTTTCTTAGTATTGAGAAAGCAATAAGTTGGAATATGTCGCACAGATCTTACATTGGTGAAAAAACGGTCGTGCTTACCAACTTTTTATGCAATAACATAATGATAATAATAGTAATCGGATCAAGATAATATTAACAATAATAAAACCAAAATTATTTTTGAAACCTTGAGCAATAAGTAATAATAACTGGTACTTTTCGTATACTTGCTTGAAGTTTTATGAGAAATTGCTTGTTCTAGTCTTTAACCGATCATCTCTGTTTTAATTACCAATTAAAGACGCTCCACGAGAGATTTGTTTCACTTTTTTTTTTTTAAATTCACATTATCGACAAAGAAATTTTGCACAATGCCAACTATTAGAAAATCCTCGCAAAACACAAAAAAAACTAACCGGGGTCGGTTGATGACATCAGCGCCCCGAAAAAAAGGAGTTCTTTGAATGTAAATGATGAAGAGAACAACCAGCAAAACGAATGCATTATAATTCTTTAAAAAAAAAAAAAAAAATTTGGTAGGAAATAAAAAAAAACTGAAAAATGTAAAAAGATTCGAAATATGACGAATAATTCAAGCTTTCCATACATTTTCATTCACTGATAGAGAAAATTTCGAAAATCAAATGAATAAGAGAAATATGGACGAACGTACCCAAAAGTTATAGCTGATATAGTTGTGCCAGCGAAAGCAAATGTTAGAATACTGCCAATATTCCGAAAAAAATGTCGCTAAAAACACCGATCGCATGAATTTTCAGAATCATAAATGATTTTTCTTTGTTGTCTTTGAATGTATGCCGCATGAGAATAAAAGCATAGCTTATTTCTGAGTAATGACTTTTAGTTAAGCAAGAAAGTCGGAATTAGTTCTATAGATTCCACAAAAAATGTCACCACTTTAATTACTGTGAATCATAATTTGACAATTATTAATTACGTACTTTTTTCAAGCTATAGCCAGCATTGAAAATAATTGGTGGAAGAAGTAAGTTGAAAAATATCTCTGGAGAAAATACAGCCTGAAAGCATAATTAACACCAACTTTGCCAATCACGATCAGACACAATAAGAGATAAACAGAAAAAAAAAATTGAGCAAGCTCTGAGGAAAATTTAAATATACTTTTTGTTCGAGATGTCGTTCACTTTGTTTGTCCTTATCTCCAAAAAAACCTTCTATCAGTTCATAATGAAACTGAACTTTCTGCGTTTTTGCTGGTTCAACCTAAAATATGAAAACATTCACTGAATGGTACATCGATTAGAATAAAATGAATAATAAAAAAATCAACAGAATGAAATGATATGATGACTTCTGATATGGTGCATATATGAAGTAAAGTATCACAGCGTAAGATGGAATGAAAAATATCGAAGCAATATTGAGGTGCATAAATTAAAAAAGCTTTTAAAAATGAAAGCTTACAGAGTTCGTTCAAGCACATGAATATTTGAAAGTAAATAACTGAACCTCAAGTCGTAAATAATCTGGTGGGTCATGTACGACAGATCCATTCTTCTGCATTACATCTATCGTTTGACTTTCGATCACCCCAATATTTGTATAACGCAATAAGAGACCAATCAATAAACCTGAAAGCAACTCCGTTTTACATTCTAAATCAAACAGGACAATCCAAAATTCGTCCTAAAAATAATAAAAATATGGAAAGCTCAACAAGGTTTTCTTTTTTTTTTTTTCACTTCGAATGAAGTGAAATAATTGCATAAAGCCATAATAACTAAGGCTATAATCAAATAGAAAAAAGAGAATAGGACATTCTCCACTCAAACAATTAATCCGATTTTTCTAACAAACAAATATGCTGTATAATTTCATTTGGAGAGAACGTGATCATAAGGTTTTTTGTGGAGAAAAAACAAACGAAGAGAAAACCAACCATAACACAATGTAAGACCAGTTTCATGGATAAAGCGAAGGCGATGATGCTTGAAAAACCATGTTGTAAGAACGATAGAAACAAGTAAAGCGACAAAAATCAATAAAATTAAGGTATCAATCCGATGAATACTGTAGGCTCTCTGAAAAAGAAAAGGCAAAGTTTTAAAAGTTTTTAATTTTATGATTTCATTAAATGTTTCATGGACCTTAGTAATAGACATATGAAAATGACGTTTTGAAAAAACTATAAACTGAAAAAATAGAATGAATTTCTCTCATATATTGAAAAATCCCTTTGTTCTTTCGGCAATATTTCTCAGTTCCCATATTTTCTAAGAAGTTTCTCCGCCAAAAACTAGAAATATCTTTAATTACCTTTTCGGCAGCTTGCTCAATGTGTTCAGCCGAATCACGTCTTCCACCAAATCCGGAAACGCACTGAAGACATAGAAGTAATAATAGTAGCAACACTTCACCTGTAATACGATCGAAGTGTTTTCTTTGATGTCTCCAGCAATGTCAAAAAGACAAAAAGAACTGTCAATATTCAATCTGGCCAAATTATGAAAGTAAAACACTTGAGCAATTCCTTGTGAAAAACCGTTTTCCTCAAAATTTTGTTAATTTTATAAATTTTCTCCGAAATCTTGAATTTACTTTATTAGCATCAACATCAAGCAAAATAAAAGTAATCTGGTTAACAACCATGGTACAATATGTTTTCTATAGGCCTCTCAAAAAATAATCTGTGTTGAAAGGCCTTAAAGCATTTATTTTAGTATATTCCTCATAAGTTAGCTTGTTTAATTGCTTAATAGAATAATTTGCACATTAGCTTATAAGAAATATAAGAAATTGTCAACATAGGCTTACACAGGCTTAATTTATCTAATCTACTACTTTATCAGCAAATCCAAAACCTGAAAAATCATTAAATACTGCAACAGAAAATTAAAAACAAACTATATTTTAGTATCCATAAAACTAATAAAATTTACAAGATTTTTTTTAAAAAAAAAAAACAAAAATCAAAAAACTTACACTTATTCATTACTGGCGTTGTTTTGATATGTTCCGTTTCAGGATAGCATTAATATACTATTTTTGCCATCAAAAAGCTGAACAGGAAATAATAAATACCGAAAATGGATAAGGAGTTCAATAACAAGAACGAATTCTAAGGGTAAAATAATAATAACAATAATAAATTTCAATAAACACCAATCTATCTAACGATCTAGGCAGTCAACTAGATATAAACCCAGTCCATATTGATTTCAACAATGAAGAAACTTTTTTTTTTTTTTTTTTTTTAATAATACTGAAGGAAAAGGGACAAAATGAGAGAATGCCTGACCGGAGATACAGAGAGAGAAAGAGAGGGAAAGAGATAGGTAGATAGAGAGGAAAGAGGGAAAACAAAAACCAGTAGTTCAAACGAAGATAGCTTCGCCTTAATAGTTTTAATTAAATATACGTTTCCAACCATACAAATTCAGTACGAACAAATAAATGACTAAAGAATATGCTAGTATTTATCATATCATTGATAACATAGACTGAGAAATAATTTAAATCATGTAAATACCTCTACGTATTCGGCTTCAATTATAAGCGGTAGCAAATCATTACTTACTGAAGTGAATAATATATAAATCAGATGATGCGATTAACTTATCAAGAAACACTTTCATCAAATACGTTGCTTTCTGACCAACACAAACAAGAAACAAGTCATTTCTTCACTGAAACCCGTTTACATTTTATGCAATCCAATTTTATCGTTCGTTCATCGATCTACATTTTTTGACCAACATTTTTGATTCCTCCTTTTTGAATATATAAGGAATTTAACGGACATAGCTTCTCGAGAGTTTTCCAGTCCTTAACCTATGTCATAAACTGATACCTCATGTCTAGCCACAATATAAATAATAGTACCTAATGTTCAAAAAGAGAATTCCAGCTTTTAGTATTAGAATATTGAAATGAGGTGATTTGTAACCGATAGTTAGAAGACAGATTTACTTAATAGCTGAATTGTTTTTTTTTTTTTTTTTTTTTTGCCATTTATCGATATTATTTGTAGCTCATGAATAATTTGCTACTTCATTTTTTTTTTTTTTTGAAAAATATATGTAAGACAAAGGATAGGCATTAACATTTTCTTTCTGCTTAATACTATTATTTTCCTTTTTTAATAAAAAAGAACATGGTGAGCAAAAATATATACGAAAAACAAAGACGATAGGAAGAGAAAAATAAAATAACATGTTATAATTCCAAAAAAAAAAAAACATATAGAGAACCGCGTAACATTTGAAATCTTTCGAGAAAAGAAAAAAAAAAAAAAAACAAGCAAACAAGTAAATTATCCAGAAATGTTACTCTTCACATTACATGGAATAATTTGTCGTCAAAACGCCAAAACAGTGGATAGCTTCATTTATGAGAGTGAGATGAAATGATAGCTGCCAATAATAACACCTTTTCACAGAAATAAAAACATAAAAACTACGCAGTCAGTAGCGTAATAAAAATTTGGTGCTATTTTATTGTACCCTACGTAGAGAAATTTGTTTTCTGTTTCCTGTTTAACTGAATTTCAATTTCACAGATATACAGATAATTCCCCCAATAAAATACATGCAAGAAATCCTGTTTAATAGTATTCTAAAGATATCACCATATTATTTGAAAGTAAATCCTCCTACAGAAAGAAATTTGTAACGAAACAAGGTTTACAGTTAATAATAGATCGGTGCACGCCATTTCATATTAACAACAGCAACAAGAAAATTTAGCCACCTTCAGAAAAATCAGAACAGCTAACCGTTAATGAAATACTTGGAATACCGCGCACTAAAAGTATCAAATTCGTTCGATTTTCATTAAATAATAACCAAATGATTCGATATCACTTGCTTCCTTTGCCTACTTTCGTCTACGTTCACTTAGAAAAGACAATGATTTACACCAACTGCCATTTCACTACTCTAACCAACTGTTTGGTCTTTTAATACCCATACATGCACGATAATCCGGAACAGCAGTCGACTCACGTTATGCATGATTATTACAATGATTTCCTAAAGTTCTCAGCCAATAACAACCTTCAGGAATAAGTGGCTAACGACACAAAATTCGAATTATCTAGGAATTACTAGAAAGAAAGAAAGAAAGAAAAAAAAAAAAAAAACAACATCCTGTCGAAACCCATCAACAAACATCTCCTTACAAAAGGCAAATAAGCACATGACAAACGCGCATGTGCTTGAAAATGAAGACAAATGGACCTCTGCTGGTGGTACTACTGTATAGCATTAAAACAATGTCAGGCATGTAAATAAAACTAAAAATCCTTAGACAAGTTCAAACTATACATATCACTGTACAAAAAAAGAACTATTGTTCGTCCACTTATGTACCACGCAAAAAGAATGATTGGATGGTCAATAATTCCAAAACTGGAGAAATGCATGTCCTCTTGCAACCAAAATGAGATTCAAATTACAAAGCATTTCCATCCCACAAATTCAAAACTCAACAAACCAAAAAACAGCCATTTCATGTGCTATGGAATTTCATTATCAAAGATTCAATAACAGTGATTTTGTGTTGTGGGTTTCAGAAACTCTTACATTTACAAACATCATTTTCAGATAATTTCAAAGAAAGGAAAGGAAAAGACTAATCTATCCAAATCAACAAGAACGCAGAAAACTGCTCCCTTTCCTTCCTTCTCACACCATCAAGTCCAACATCAATTTCAAATATACTGATAAGGTTCTATGATATAAAAAAATAAACAATATCAATAAAATACAAAGTATTACCATTGAAAGTGAAGTAAATGTGAACACTAAAATACATTTAAGAAAAATAGCTTCTAGAAATTAGCTTCGAAATTGAGCATTAAATCCATCTGACTCGTGACATCGCCACCTGTACTCATCGCTTCACGACGTCGTCTTTCCTGCAATTCAGTTGCTTTTCTGCAGATTGCATTTTTTTGCTTTTGCTCCTGATTATAATTTTTAATTTCAACATGATATTTTCACTAAGGAACAAAGTGATAAATTGAAATCAAAGTTTTCAAAGTTTTATGAGCAACAGCATAAAATTATTTTAAAATGATTATCAATAATCTAAATTTCGATGAGAAATTTGAGATGCTAATCAAGAAACAAATTACACTTGAGAGGTGATGATAAACGATATTCAAAAAAAACTTTTTTGTAATATTATCATTTTAGCAATATTTCCAAAGCTTAACTTACTAAAAATAATCTTAACAAATTATTTCTATCACTAAATTCAACAAAATAAACTGCAGATCTAACCTGCTCTTTCTGACGCAAAAGCTCATTCTGCCTTCTCTGCTCCAGCTCAGCAGTTTCGGCTGCAGCCTGATCCTTAGCACGCTCCCTTTCTTCCTGTTCTTTCAAACGGCGTCTTCGTTCTTCCTCCACTCTCAACTGCTTACGCTTTAATTTAAAAAAGTGAAATCATTATAAAGTACCATTTCACACCAAGTAATTTGCTACATAAATTTCCAACATTAACACCATGGATACAACACAACATACCAGCTTTCATCGGCACTACCACTCAAAATATTCTTCCAATGACAGATGCTGGAATATTACTTGCAATTAAGTAACACAAGGACAACCTTTTCTTCCTTTTCTCTGGCATGCTTCCGAAACAATTCAAACTGCGTTGACGTTTGCATATTCAGACTACCACTCTGGCTTTTCTTCGCCAAACTGTCCCACCCAGCTAATTTTTTTACACCAGTTTTGTCCTCCATTTCTAAAAAAAAAAACTAGTTACAAATGGATATCTTCCCAAACTTATTCGCATAGGACAAACAAGATTTGCTTAATATTCTTGTTCAGGTCACTTATTCGATATTTTTTTTGAAACAACTCTAAGATTCAAGGAAAGAAGAGAATTACTGATCTACAGCTGTTTAGATTACAATATACAGCAAAATCATACTGGAGTCACTGTGATAGAAGCACAGAAGATAGAAATACAAACCGTCTAATGCCAACCGCCTGACCAAACTTACTAGTTACTAGTTTTATCCGTTAAAGTGTCAGAAGATTGCTTTGCACAATGACTTATCACTTATAGTTTCTAACCAACCATTTTGCTTCGCCGGTAATAACTGATCAAGTATTGATCCTCCGGAAATCTGTGATTGCGTCTGCTGTAGCTGTGAGGCAACGGATATTGCACTACTCGAATTTACATTAATAAGCTGATCTTCTGCTACTGGTAAAGTACCACTACCACTATCCTTCTGCTCTTCTGCAAAACCAAATGAATATTCTTATATGATACTGGAGAAAACCAAGTATTACCAGATATCATTCACGAAATCACAGACTGCTTCTGAATATAAGTTTGAATTTGCTTGAACAATTCCTTCTGAACATAAAATAAAGAGAGAGAGAAAGAGTGGGAATTACTATAATTAGATATGAGTTATATTTTTCTTTACTGTTTTGTTTAACTTTTTACTCTTCAAAAAAACTTCGCAATACTATGGAATTAAGAGTTAACGAAAAAAAAAAGAGTTACATCATTACTTGCCAAACGGTAGCCAATCCCATAAAAACTTCGTGCAGAAATTACTAAATATTAGTACTGATTTAAATTTTCTAGTCGTAAGAAAGAATTCATGCATCTATCAAATACAAAACCAAGTGTCTAATGCACGACCCTTTCTATATATTTAAATCCATATAAGCTGAAATTACCTTTAACATTCCCCATCTGAAAATGATTTGCAGGATGCTGCAGCACAGAACCAAGTTGCTGTTGCTGACTGTTTGTAGATGGTACAGCTGACGACGTTTCCTTCTTCAAACAACCACTTTTTAATTCAAATCACGAATTCTTTAATCTAACGCAACTCCTCAGTCATACTTCTAGCAGTTCAAAAAGAGTATGGCTGATCAATGCTACTCAGAATCGAATCCACCGCGGACAAAACCTGAACTTTTCTATTTCGCTGATATTAAACCATATATGGGACAG